TGGTTTTCCACTTCAGTCTGTTGTCGATGTGGACGAGGTATTTGTAATCCTCAACTGACACAACATCCTCTCCTAGAATATGTAGTGGCTGTGCAACCATCCTCTTCCTCCTGAAGTCGACCACCATCTCCCTGGTCTTGGCCACATTCAGAAACACATGATTTTTCCCAGCCCACTCTACAAAACCATCCACCAGTGCTCTGTACTCACGCTCCCTCCCATCACTTATACACTCAACCACCGCAGAGTCATCAGAGAACGTCTGTAAGTGGCATGACTCTGAGTTGTACTGAAGGTCTGAGGTGTACAGTGTGAAGAGGAAGGGTGACAGTACAGTCCCCTGCGGAGCTCCTGTAGTGCTCACCACCACATCATACAGAACACTACCCAGTCGGACAAATCAAAGTCTGCCTGTCAGATAGTCAGTATTCCAGGAGACAGTGGATGTGTCCACCCTCATAGCCTGTAGCTTCTCCCTAACAAGAACTGTCTGGACAGTGTTGAACGCACAGGAAAAATCAAAGAAAGTGATTGTCACTGTGCGACCAACCTGGTCCAGATGTGAGTGGGCTCGCTGCAGCAGGTATATAATAGCATCATCCACTCCCAGGCCGGTTCAATGTCCGGGCAACAGAGATGCTTATTCTGATAAATATGTCCAGGATTACACCATCTTTCACTCACAAATGTGCAATCCCTCCTCCCTTCTTCTTACCACTCTCTATAACGTCCCTGTCCGCCCGAACAGAAGTGAAGCCGGGTAACTCCGCGCTGTAGTCCGGGAAGTCACAGTGCAGCCATGTCTCGGTAAAACACAACAAGCTTCACTCACGGTATTCCCTTTGGGTCTTAATCAGCGCGCTGAGCTCGTCCATCTGTTTCCCCTAGGATTTCATGTTCCCCATGATGACCGCAGGAACTGAATTTTCTCGCCGGGCAGAAACACAGGTTTACTCAGTGCAATCATCTGGTCATGTGAGTAAACAATTCTCTCACTCCTCTCTGTGTGGCTCGTCGAAACAAAGACTGTGGAAAGTAGCAGAAAAACTAGGGAAAAAGTTTTAAAACAGCATGCAGCCATTGCAACTTACATCCCCAGGACAATTACTGAGAAAAAAAATGAAAGAACAAAGTGACAAAAAGATGTAAAGTCAAGAAAAACCAATGGAGCTGCAGTAACAGGCTGCCACCTAGCATTCACTTTGAACCTGGTTAAAAACCGCCCGCACGGGACGCTCTGAAGTAAAGCGAATACGCCCACAATGAGGCAGGGATCATATCATTCATTTCATTGGTTGACCAGTGGTCAACATGACAGCAATTTGTTGGGGAATTTTGATTGGGTTGTAACAAAAAAAAGAAAAAATAGTCCAAGAGCAGAGGACAAATCTGAGAGCAGACAATTCACGAGTGCACAGAAAGTGGCCCTAGTGCGGAGAAGGGCTGTAGCTGGAGAGCAAGAAATGCATGCGAGCAACAATATATCTGAGTGCAAGCACACAGTTTGAGCAGAAGCAGAGCAAATTTAAGTTCAAACAGGCTATTTTAGTGCAAGGGCAGGGTTTTGATTAAAAGTATTACACAATCTGAACACAAAGTCATGTGCTCAAACTGAGTTTTTTTGGTAGTATTTCCTTACTCTTGTTGAGGGTTAAGGACAGAGGATGTCGCACTCGTTAAGTCCATGAAACAAATCATATTTTGTAAAATATGTATAGACAAGCAAACAAATGTTTTGAATAATATATATGTACTTTGCAGCCTTTTGATATTGTTGCATATCAGGTGGTTTGCTGGGTTTAAAGTGTTCAATTTTGATTTTGGTTTATTTGTTCCCATGTGATCACAGGAAATTCCAGTTAACTGGGGATATTCCCCTACAGCCAGGGTGCCTTTGGGGTGAACCTCACTGGGTAGTATACATGTATACTCCTGCAGACCAATACGCCTACAGAGAATGGCCAAACCGCAGCAGTGAATGGTGTACACATATCAGTCTCATTAGCTAGTATTGTCTCTTACAGCCACGGAACAATGAGGAACAGCTCACTGAGGCTGGTCCCAGGACCACACATAGCAGTCTCACTAGATAGTATATTCTCCTGCAGGCCAATGCGCCTGCGGAGAATGGCACACACACAGAAGATACTGATCCATAACACCTGGCTCCGAATTTGTGCGGTTTCAGGGGTTACAAGTATTTGCTCATCACTCCCATCCTATCTGTGTTATCATATCGGGGGGAGTGATTAAGTCAAAGCCTAGACGCCAAACATTAACCTGTTGCAACAAACACTTGAACGTTGTCTGACTGAAAATGTAGTTTCATGTACAATAAAGCTATCTATGAAACTCTATTTTATCTTATGATTCTAAGGAGCACATCTGGTAAAAAGTAACAGCAGCAACATGCACAGTATTGTAATCATACAAGAACACATCAATGAATGTGTTGTTGGAATTTGGAATTAATCATGAGCCTTTTACTTTTTGGTTTTAATCAAATTAATCATTGGCATTCAAGATATGAGTTAATACTTAATACTCCTTATGTGTCTCGTGAAAAGATCTTATATAAATTAAAACATTAATTCACCAAAGTGTCCTTGTTGATATATTATAAGCAATGGGGAACATATGCAAAAACCAGGAAAGTTATCTGTAGTAAATGGAAAATGTAGGTCACAGTATTTAAACTGTGTCACATGTTGCAGAAACAAAATTGTTTATCTAACTTAACCTTAACATCTGGTCAACACAGGTTAGCAGACCTGAAGGAACAGTTAGGCCCAGTATTGCACAGCTATCAGTTAACTAGCTAGCTTGGTTAGCATTGTAATTCACATTGTGACAGTAATTAGCATGCTAACTCTTCAGAACACCTAGAAACACACTGTACTTTTGTGGAGCATAGGAAGATAAAAATTGTAAAGCGTTAAGTAAACAATATTTTACTCACTGAAAAATCTGGATATCGGCTCCTCTGTCTATTGTTACTGAAGAACAAGCCTTTATCACAGTGAACTAATAGAAGCAAACTAAGGTAAAGGGATAAAACCTTCTCCAGTGACTTATAATGAAAGTATAGGAGTAAATGGAAGAGAACTGAGTGAACGCGATGTAAATAAAGCTCCACCAAACCATTCTCTCTAGTCTGACCCGTCTCAGCTGTCAATGATCCAAGAGTCTATTAGTCAATCAAACAGACATGCCCCAAAAACAATGGGTTTTTAAGATCTATTATCTAATTAATTACCACCAGATCTTTGATAAGGAGTGTATCTTATGAATGAAACTGGGATTTTTGTTTTGAGTATTTCACAGCAGTTGTTTTGGAATTGCAGTCTATGAAGCCAGAGCTTTCTTGGAGCCAACTCAAGCAAGCTCTTGCTTGATCTCTTTGGTATTACACTTTTAAGCACTTCCTCATAGGCTTCATCTCTTGGAGCAGGGTTAGCTGCATCCACTTTTTTTTACACAGTCTATGTGCCCAACCAAATATCAGGTAGGTGAATATAATGCTGTAACGCTTCACATGCACAAGCTCTTTTAAATTTTACATGTTGCACCCTAACTCGGGGGGGGGCATGTATGGCATATGGCAAGCCAGTGTGTCTTAAAGAAATCCATACACCTTAACAGCAGGGGGATCATTCCCCATATATATGGAATGTGTAATGGAATGGAGGGATAGTCTCAGTATGATTAACTGTGATGTAAATACATGATGATTAGACAGGTCTAACAAGAAGTTTGTAGTCGATGTTTAAACCAATGTTTTTAGTCACAATGGTTTCAAAGTACAAGTTAAATGAGTGGAAGAGGAAACAAGTGAGCCATCACTGGATTCTAGTATCTCAATAGGCAATGGCTCATGGTAGCTAATAACCGCCATTACAAATTGACTACGAACAGAACAGGCAGTTGAGTTTACTTCAGCACTGATTAATAATCAATAGCACAGGTATGCACTGAGCACTAACCCACTGGAGCAATTGAGAATATATTAATTAGAAGCTAAGTGTTATATTGTGGTTATTGTATGTGGCACTTTTTAGAACAGGCCTCTGGCTAAACAAAAGCATCCCGGATGTGGCAATCAAAGTAGCCGGCTGCTCTGTTTACAGAGTGGACCAAATGAGGAGATCTGGGAAGATTAGAGAAGGAGGTGTGTCTTACCCTGAACAACAGCTGGTGCACATTGTTTACAAACACTGCTGCCCGACGTAGAGCTCCTCATGGTAAGGTGCAGACCATTTTTTCTTCCAAGGGAATTCACAATAACAACAACTGTCACAATAACAACAACTGGCAGTATACATTTCCCCACAAGCTACGGCTCAGGTAGCGCTTGAAGTCATGAAAGTGTTTGACGTCAGGATGATCATCCTAGCAGGAAGACTTAATATTGCAATTCAGATCATTTATCAACTACATAATTTCTTTGGAAGAATGCCCACCCTCAATTTGCTATTGCTTCAGTTAGATAACAAGAGGAACATTTGGCCCTGTTGCAGCACAAGAGGCAGATGTGGGAGAATTTAGCAAAGAAGATCATCACCTCAACTCCAAACTGATAAAATGTTTGTATTATATTATATTATTCATCACATGCTGTCTTTACAAAACTTAATCCTGACAATTGTTGATATTGACATGGACTTTAGATGGCTGGAGATTACCTCCACTCTTGTCATACATCTGTTTAAATGAATATGAAACATAGATCCACCAGAGACCCCCACTTGGATAGGTAAGATAATATGACACATCAGGCTACTTATAATCAATCTTTCAATTGGTGTTAGGAACCAATTCTTGTGTGTGCCAACATGTTAGTACAGATTTTAGTTTGTGCCCATATCAGTTTCTCATTTTTCACAAACTGAACATTTATTGTAACAAAGAGTGAGCTGAGCCACATCACTTTATTGTGGAACATTACATATTACTAATCTAATTTAATTAACTCATAGTGCATCTATGACAGGCATTATACATATCCATGCTTGATATGTTCAACGTCTTCCAGAATGGTTCTCAAGGTCAGGTGAAGCTTTGGATTAAAGGATGAGGATATAAAGGAAATGTTCTCATATTATTGCAGTACAAAGACGTGTGAGTGCACATACTGCATATACAAAATCTATGCTCTTGCTGGATCTACTGCTTATGTACATCTTCATGTCGAAGTATCTTGTAAAGGACCCAATAGAATATATTGAAAAAGAGAAAGGCCAGAGGGAATCCGGCCCTTGACACAGTGTCAATCTTTTTGGCTCGGTCAATAAATAATTTCCTCATCTCTTCAGTGCTTTTACCCTCTCCACTCGCTGGCACTCCTGGTGGATTCAGGGTTGTGTTTGCTGTGGTTCCTTGAGTGCTCAGAACAGTGACAGAATTGTTGGTGCTAGCCTTTAAATCCTTGCTGTTGCTGGGAGTTGAGGTCGTTGCAGCTTTGGAGGTTGGCATGCTCTCATGTACTTCCCCTTTCTGTTGGAGAATGAGGAGGGTCACAGGTCAGTTAAGAATGCACTTTATTCACTTCATTGACTGCATATGCCACTCATGGACCCTTGTGCAAGGCATAAAATAAAGTTAAAGTGATTGTACTCAAACCAAAAAATATTGGCTATGGAATTGATGGTTTGGAAAAAAAATAGAAATGTCACTCTAACCTTATATTTGTACATGATTGAGATCACTATAGAAGTCTGAATATAGGTCTATATTATGCAGTGGTTTCCGAAAGTATTCAGACCCCTTAACCTTCTGCATGCTTGATGTTCCTGGAAGACATTTTACATCTCATCTGAGAGGCTTCAAGAAACTCAACCAAGTCCAGTTGACCTGTTTTTAGCACTTGGACATTGCAGATTTGTCAAAATAAATAACTGAAATCTCTCATTTGCAAAAGTATTCAACCTCTTAATTCAGAACTTTGTAGAAGGTCCTTTAGCTCCATTATTATTATTATCTGTCACTACTATCATTAAAAACATATTTAGATCTATAATTTGTATTCATATTGTTTTCATTATAACAACATGTCTGTCAAAGCTGAAACATGATGGTTACACAACTGTTCCTGGTCATCTCTCCTTTCTCTAGAGACTTGTTTTATGTCCAGGTCAAACAACGTGTCCTGGTCAACCATTAACTGCAAGGTGTACAATGTTTCTCTGAGGTGTTGAGTGCACTACAATTGGTCTCATAGAGATTAACAAGGTGCAACATCCTCTTTCCTTAACCTTCAACAAGAGTGTGGAAATTACTTCAGTTTTGTCTGAAATTGGAAGTAAAAAGTATGGGTCATCCGGGCCTTAATGTCCAACATTGATACGTACAGCTGGATTTAATTTGCGTAACAATGGAAATGTATGTGGTGCTTTCTAATGTTGCCTAAGGGAATTATGTTTTTTTTTCTTCTGAATACTGAATACTGGCGTGTGTTATAATTTGTGCTTCTGTGTTTTCATTTAGTTTCAGAGATGAAATACTCATGCAAGCTAGTGTTTTCCCTATGCTAACACGTTTGTATTAAACTTTGTGGTTAAACAGAAACAGAGATGCCCATTTATTGTGTCATACATATTGTGCATATTAAAAAGATTTAATGGGCTGAAGTGGCCATTTTAGAACATCTCCTAAGCTTACTCAAATCTTTTCAATGGTTACTTTTAGAGACTGCTCAATGGCTAACTTTTATGAATATAAAATCTTGCCTGTCATGTTAGTTTGGGGATTCAATATTAACTGTGAATGGAACTTGCCCCTGGGGGTCAAGATGTTTAAGAAAGAAACTTT